ATTCATCTTGACCAGCTGCCGATTGGCTTGACTGGAACATTCATCCTGACGCTGTTTCCGAGGCAATCTCCTTTGATTCCGGTGAAAAGGAGCCAAGCTTTCGTCGGTCATGTGACGAACATGATCAGAGCAAGGTTTCATCGTCACAACCAAATTCAAGCTAGCGAGTCAAAAAAACGAAATAGGGTGAACCCAATTCGTATAGATGTTGCTTTTTCTGTCCTAATTACTTTGAGTCATCACTGCTGGTTTTGTGCATATGCGAACGCATACAGATTTATACAGATACAAGGACAGACACACTCATATGCTGCAAGGCTGACATATAATTGGAACTAACCAAAACCCTTGTATATCCCATCAAAGAGGTCAAATGTAGCGTATATATACTGCTTTTTGAGGATGAGTCGGTGGGTTTTCTTGACTCTGATGGTGTTCGTCATGTGATGGACGAAAGCTTAGCACCTTTTCACCGGAATCGAAGGCGATTGCCTCGGAAACAGCGTCAGCACGAATGTTCTCGTAAAGCCAATCGACAGCTGGTCAAAAGGAATCTGTCGTCGTCTTCTGGTGGAATCGGCCTTCGAATCTCTTCACCAAACCTTTTCACTCGAAAGGGAAGTAAGCACAACAGTTCTGGAGTCGTCCGACAAACGAAATCTCAACACATGTTCTTAAATGCGAGGAAATTGTGTAGAAGTCGGTTCATAGCGAGTTGCCTCGATTTTAAAATCCTCAAATTCCCATTTTCAGATGACCATCACAATCGGTAAAGTGTAAGACCGCATTCTACCTGCTTCCTGCAAACTGGCATGAAAGACCATGCAAGACTGGCGGCAATTCTGATGCTCCCGGTGGAGCCTAAGGAATGCCCTTATACGCCAACATGTCATGCAAAGTGTATAAACTCAACGATTTACTCGATCACAGGTCCACTTTGTTCTCGGCTGAAACCCCTCATCAAACCAATTTGTAGTCCGTATTAACATTGTGTTCAACCAGTTCGGCTTGTTAAACCAACTTTTATCGAGACCCAACTTTTCGTCATATTGAAGCGGCCTTCTTCACGGATTGGGTACTTCTAGGGAATCTCAAGCCGGTTAGCCTCTTGGTCTCTTCCAATCCGCACTCAAACCCTTCCGAGACGGTCTACTCAAAATCGGATTTCGCCTTCTTCTCACCTCGAATTTCACGCCACAACCGTTCGGGCATTGCAGGATCCGGTATTCGCAGTCCTCCAAGTGCACCACCAACTCAGACAGTACGCCCGTCCAGTGACAACCACTGGACTGCAGCGAACAGCGGACCCCCAGCGAGTCGATGCGCTTCTGGAAGGCCTTGTCCAGCGAGACCTGCTCTCGCGTCAGCGGGTTCTGGTCGATTGGGCACTTCTGAGTGGTTCTGTAGGAAAAGGGAGTGACAAACGCCATAATTTTCACTAAAAACACTACTTGGTATTCTTCTGGATATTTCATTTATAAATAGGTTGTCAAGACTACCTGTAGATCTTATATGGCAGGGGTATTTATCCTACTTCTTGAAAAGTGATAAATACCGGTTGTTGAATTCTACCACAATCAGGTGCATTCATGGTAGTGGGATGGACATCACTCGTCATCTTTGTTGGGTTGTAACTCAATGTTAACGCTGACATGATGACGTCGAAAAATGTCCTAATTAGTCTGGAAGAGGACGCGGAAAGTGGCTAATTCTTTGAGATTGCCTTGACAACACGACCGAGTAATAGAAATAAGGTCACGCCACTTTTATTCACCGAAAAGAGACTGTAAGCATCGCCATTTTGGTCTTTGTAGCACCCGCTTATGCTGTATGTATAGCCCGACTCCTTGCATGTGTTTAGATAAAGCCCAAGTTGCTTCATTTCATAGGCATGTGTGCATTGATGTTTGTGTGCGTGAGAGGACAAAAGCGACAATGGAATATTATGATAAGCATCGCCTCGATTGCGCAATGCCTGTGGCAATGGACTCAAAAGCTGTCAAAATGGGCAGGAAATTGTTTGACCTGCGACCACACAAAAGGACACACCATCTTGGTCTTTATACCTTCGAAGGCCGATCCGACCAGAAGACAACAGTGGATTCCTCTTGACCAGTTGTCGATTGGCTTTACTGGAACATTCTTAATGGCGCTGTTTCCAAGGTAATCTCCTTCGATTCCAGTGAAAATGCGTTAAGCTTTCATCCGTCATATGATGAACATCATCAGAACAAGGTATCATCCTAACAACCAAATTCAAGCTACCGAATCAAGTGAGAAAGAGAGAGAGAGAGAAAGGAAGTGATGGTGGTCATCAAACCTTGATGACCAAAAACAGACAATGTTTTGTTCTAATTATTTAGCCGTCACTGCTGGCTTCGTACATATGCGAACACATACAGCCACATACGCTCACACGCTCCGAGGTTAGCATATGACTGGAACTAACCAAATTACGTTATAGAGTATATATACAGCTTTTTAGGGATGAGTCGGTGAGTTTTCGTGAGTCGTTAGCTTAAATTTGGTTGTAAAAATGATACCTTGCTTTGATGATGTTCGTCAAACGATGGATGAAAGCTTATCACTTTTTCACCGGAATCGAAGGAGATTGCCTCGGAAACAGCGTCAGCATGAATCTTCCAGTAAAGCCAA